ATATATCATCACAAGTTGTTTTAAGAAATATTCAACCAGACAAATCCATGTGTGTTTGGTGCTCAGAAAACTAGATGTGGGAGTCTCCACATAATAACTGAGGTCACGGAATGAGGAGTTATCCTGGAGAGAACAGGGGGCGGTAGCTGGCCAGGCACAGGAATACGGATGAGGCGGTAGCACAGAGCCACTCCACCCTCCAACCGTCTCAAGAAAGCAGTAGTCAAAGGCTCGATCAAGGTCAAGTGAAGGTTGAACATGTCTAGTGAGTATCAGTGACCAGTGAGCTTAGCAAGACGGAGATCGGAGAACAAAGCTGTAACAGGAATGAGAAATGAAGTGCCAGAAAACAGTTTTTGTGTAAATCACTCTTGAGATGTCCGGCTGTAAAGAGTGGGAACGGAGAGGGAGGAACTAGAGCAAACTGTGTGCGCTACAAGTGAAATCTAGAAAGGAATGAACAGGAGAGTTTGTAGTTGAAGATGCAGATGGGAAAGAACTATAAATGAAGCAACCCTCTAAGGCAGAATGCAACAGAATCTACAACATTTATTGTAGAGGGAGGGACTGGCCTTTGACGGAAGGACAGTTATGCCAGGAAGGAGGAAAGAGATGTTACGCAGTTACTTTGAACATCTGCCAGCATACCTCTGTCTAATCTGGTCCAGGTTCTCAGGGTCTGTAATTAGCACCTGCACACCAAGCTTCATTTTTGTTTTCTGCAGGCTGAAGTCAAGGCAAGCAATTTTTGCATTAACTATTCTCTTGGGCATGCCTATAATTGAACATAATATTAAAATATTAAGTCCTTTCACAGTAACTACTAATAACAGTACATTTTATACACCCAACCATAAAGCATGAGATTAATGTCATACGTAAACACAAATTTCAATTTGTTTAACATAACGCATTTTTATGGCATTAAACACACGTACTTTCTTCTAACTTGCATTTTTCCTAAGTTACGTGCTTAAGTTATTAAAGAGAAACTGATAATGTGACGTACATTCCTTAAAGAGCAGTAAGTGCACAGCTTGGATAGTTCACCTGAAGATGAACAGGAAGCAGCCACAGAAAGCTCATCTTAACCTCTAGTCCTCTCGTTAGTGACCACATCCCGAGCCTTACCCTGAGACCCCACCACACAGTTGAGTGCATAGCCATTGATGAGCACACTCTCCATCTGACTTCTCCCATGGGCTTTCAGAATATTAATGGAATTGACTGGATAACGAGGCTGGCCTCTTGCATCTGTGTATTTAATAGCAAGCACGGCATCTACCACCATACTAGCGAAGAAATCACCATCTCTAAGGCGATAGTTAAGGGGAACAAGAGACTTGGAATGGAGAACAGGGAAACATGAAAATCAAGGGTAATTCAAAGGCACTTCCCTTTTGCAATCTCATCAAGAAAACAAGGATTACTTATCACTACCTGCAGTTCATATTACTTTTACTCTTTACATTACCTCCCCCCTAAAGAAGCAGGGAAGGAAACAGGCAATTTCAAAACGGCATCACCTGGCATGAAAACTAACACAAGTTCTTTCTTCTAAAAAAAGCCCAAACTTTACTGGACCACCACAAGGATACATTCCAATGATTTTGGATGACATTGATGTTTTAGCAGCATTAGTGAGGCAATCTCTTCCAAGTTCATCTGTGTTAATAATTAGATTTTCACTGATATAACGCACTGCTTCCCTATTTAAAGCGTGGGGGAGAAAACAATTACAAATTAATTCACTATTCAAACTTTTGTTTTACCATAGTGTCAAAATGTCATAGGCACCAATTTTCTGTTCAGCCATTTCATATAGGAGGAGGACACAAATAAATCCTCCCTCTTCAGATCATGGCAATTTTAATCTATCCCATAAGCATAGCCACTAAAATCTATTAGGAGAAAATGTGGTAGTCAAATGGGAAGAAAAGATACTGGCCCTACTTCTTCAAATATCACTTAAATGCTAAAATGTAACTTTTAAAAAATAAGATGTAGTTATTAATGAAAACATTTAAACACAGTTTGCAATTATTACATCAAATAATATAAAATTTTCTCTGAATACAATCTTACTTGCAAGCAAGTCGATAGCCACTAATAACAGACGTGGGATGAATTTTCTGTTTGACTAGTTCATCTGCGTTTTTTAGAAGTTCTGCTGCAATAATAACCTGTTGAGAAAACATTAGTGGCTGTAATATTAGTCTAGCACTCTACGTGCAATGCGTATGTAAAAGCAGCAAAATTATCAAGAATTAACCAGAATTGTGATGGCAGTAAAATGAGTAACTGATCAGAAACCTGAAAAAAAGATAACTCTACCCAGTGTTTCATATTCAAATGGCCAAACCCAAGAAAAAGCCAGAAAAATGTTCTGGCTAATACACTAGTTCTGTAGTACAATAGTCAAAGACTACCCATCCATTACTTTTAAAATATATATTTTATTGATTTTTTAAAAAATATATTTTATTGATTTTTTACAGAGAGGAAGGGAGAGAGATAGAGTCAGAAACATCGATCAGCTGCCTCCTGCACACCTCCTACTGGGGATGTGCCCGCAACTCAGGTACATGCCCTTGACCGAAATCGAACCTGGGACCCTTCAGTCCGCAGGCCAATGCTCCAACCACCGAGCCAAACCGGTTTCGGCTATTTTATTGATTTTTTAGAGAGGAAAGGAGAGGGATAGAGAGCTAGAAACATCGATGAGAGAGAAATATCAATCAGCTGCCTCCTGCACACTCCCTACTGGGGATGTGCCCGCAACCAAGGTACATGCCCTTGACCGGAATCGAACCTGGGACCTTTTAGTCCGCAGGCCGACGCTCTATCCAGTGAGCCAAACCAGTTAGGGCCCATCCATTACTTTTAAAGATTAAGTGTCCAACAAATGCTAAGAGTCTGACTACTCAAATGGCCTTTACTATTTTAGGTTATTATTTGGCTTATTATAAAAATCATTTAAGGACACTAAAAATATTTTTTTAATATTCTTTTTATTCTTTTGTTTATTTCAGAGAGGAAGAGAGAGAGATAGAAATATCAATGATGAGAGGGAATCACTGGCTGCCTCCTGCACGTTGGACCGAGTCCCACAACCCAGGCATGTGCCCTTGACCTGAATCGAACCTGGGACCCTTCAGTCCGCAGGCCAACACTCTATCCATTGAGCCAAACCAGCTAGGGCTAAAAATATTTTTTAATTAAAAAGACTTCATCCCAGCTGGCATGGATCTGTGGTTGAACCTCGACCGACCTATCAACCAGGAGGTCACGGTTCGATTCCTGGTCAGGTAACATGCCCGGGTTGCGGGCTCGATCCCCAGTGTGGGGTGTGCAGGAGGCAGCCGGTCCATGATTCTTTCTCATCATTGACGATTCATTCTATTTCTCCCCCTCCCTCTCCGAAACAATAAAAATATATTTAAAAAAAGAAATAAAGAGTTCAAAAATGCTGCTTTTGGGAGAAATCCTAATTTTAAGGCCATTTTTATTATTTTATAAGAGGTAGAGTCCATTCTTTCATGGCTTATAGTTTAATTTAGAAATGCAAACATTTCCCCACACAATACATTGTTTCTTTAGAGCAAATTACTTGTTTCTATAGCAATGTGCTGGATGCTCTCCACATTCATAATACTGATCACACTCCCATTCTGAACTCATGAGATTGCCTCGCCAGCATGTAAAATATAAAAGCATCTTGTTTTTATAAACCGGTGAAATTTTATAAAGGGAAGGTTTTAGAAATTTCTAAGTCTCAGGTCAGGAGGGGACCATATTGAAATATCTCTTAAGTTTCTTCTCTACTCGGAGTGTACAAACTAGCTATAACCATCAGCCTTTTCAAGTTTAGTTTCAGAACCACTGCCCATTTTTCCCCCTCGTAACTAACTTATTTTTAACTCAGAAGCAAATAACTGACTACGGTTCACTTTCTGACGGATATAGGAAAGCGAGTCTTTAGCCATCTACCCGGACTACCTACCACGGAGGTGGTTCCATCGCCCACTTCTTTGTCTTGCAGGTCAGCTAGCTCACAAAGAACTTTAGCTGCAGGATGCTCTACCTCCAGTAACTTCAGGATGGTCGCACCATCGTTAGTAATGGTGATATCCTAAGGAATTTGCAGGGAAGGGGGAAAAACCACAATTATGTACAGAAACAGGACATCCTCTCATTAACACAACCACATTATGACATACCTTCACCCTTACTACCCCTTCCAATACAAGCACTCTGATTAAAAACAAAGAATCTACATAGCAAAACATTTAAGATCTCATTAATTTAAAGACACAAACATCTAACTGTACTTACACCAATATCATCCACCAACATTTTATCCAAGCCAACTGGTCCAAGAGAACTCTTCACAATATTGGCAATAGAAGCTGCAGCCATAACTACAGAAATGAAATAATGAAATTAGGAAAACCCACTGCTTCGAAGGACAATTTCAGCTTCAAGAAAGTAAATGACAGCCAACAGCCTCTGAATCTTCCCAATCTACAAATCTGTCCTAATCACTTAAAATAAAAAGGTCATCTACTAGTCATAATTTGGGTTCTGTCACCTCATATAGAAAAAGGAAAACTAGCGACTTTTTCTTTAAAAAACCGTATTAAAATCAAGTCTTTATCTGCGAATTAAAAAAAAAATGTGGGAACCAGAGCTTCTGACTTTACTGCAAATTCATCCAAGACAAGAATTCGTAATCAATCAACGGTAAGATCGACAGGCATCCATGACTTGGAAGCGTACGCGCTCCCCAAAAGGGTTCACCAACAAGTGCTTTGGTCCGGGCCAACGTTTACTAGAATAAGTTCATTGTTTATCGCTTATACAACATCCAACTAAGTCCCTGGGCTACTCTCATTTCAACGAGCTGCCAGCGACGGGCGAGGACAGAGCTACTCTCATTTCAACGAGCTGCCAGCGACGGGCGAGGACAGAACGAGCTCCGGACGCCGGCACCGCCGATGGCGCGGGGATGCGGGTCTTTCCCGGCTCATGGTCCTCAAACGAGGCCTCGAGGCTGAGGGATGCTCCGCGTGGTAGGAACCGGAACACAAGGGGCTCAGAGGTGCCGAAGGGACGCCAGGCGTGGCCGGCACGTGTCGGTACCGGGGACCCACCGCCCGTCACTCCCGTCCAGCGCGGGTCTCCAAACAGGCCGCGCTCTCCTACGGGAAGGGGCCGCTGCCGCCCCGCCCAGAAGGCACGGACCCGCGGGGGTAGGTTACGCACCGCACCCCGACCCTATTTTGGGGAGAGAAGGGAAGCACCAGGACCGGAACCCCGGCCCCAGCGGGCAGGGCTGGGGGGAGCGCTCCGCGTCACCTAGCCGAGGCCTCGCCCGTCCTTACCGTTCTGGGAGCGGATCGCCTCCCCAGTGCTGCGATCCCCGAACACGGACAGAGGCCCCTCCATCTTCGCGGCAGGGTACACCTCGCGCTTCACTTACACCGCGGACGGCTAGCGTCGGTTCCGAGGCCCAGCGGAGGCGGCAGCGCGGCGTGGACCGGGCCCAGGCGATGCCGCAGGGGATTCTGGGAACACCGCTCCACCTCTTCCCCCGCCCACCCGGCCCCCTCAGTCCCTGCGCCGCCGCGGGGCAGGGCGGGAAAGAGAGGAGGGGAGGGGGCGAGAAGCGTGAATGTGTAGGAAGTGAGGAGCCGGAAGGGCGGGTTCATCACTTTTGCCCAATTAGAGAGCGAATAGGAAGGGCGCGAAGGCAGAACGGAAGTCCGGCTCCTGCACCGCGGGCGGAAATTGCTCGGGTGCGCGTGCGCATTTGCACATTCTAGTGCCTTCTAGAAGAGGGGGTTCACGGTGGGGTGGAGCCTGGTGTGTGACGGGAGGAGGGTGGGCACTTCTTAAAGGTACAGCGGGGCCTCTGAGCTACTCTCGCGTGTTTATACCAGCAATTGTTTTTCACCAACTAGTAAAACTGCAGCTCACCAAGAAATATATTTTTGCCTATTTTGATTCATTCACATTGTACAGCTATTGTAGTGGCTATTTTTTTGACTTCAGAAAAGAGGTCAGTGCTCCCGACCAAAGAGTCAGCTATTGCGTGTTTTAAAAACTATTGTAGTTTATACAGTAAATATTTCCCTTGTTCTCCTTACACGTAGGAACGTGTTTGGAGAGGAGCCGGCAAGTCGCAGGCTTTGTTCCTGGGCTCCGAGTGCAAGCGGGGCCAGGGTGGGACGGGCAAGGCTTTCCCCGCTAAAATGCCGGCCATCGTTTCTGCAGAGAAAGCTGTGCGCCTTGCTCTGCCCCGCTTCCTCCCAGTGCCCAACCGCCGTGTGTGGCGTCATGGTCGGTGAGCTCTGCCACCAGAGGGCCCAAATAAGGGAGCGCGAAGTCCCGGCTTCCTCCCGGGCTCCAACGCAAATCTGCAAAAGGCGTCGCGGAAACGAAGGGGTCGCGCCCCCCCCTCCCCCCCGAGTGCTTTACTGTGAGGTGGTTGGTCGGCTCCGGCGGCTGCGTGACCCCAGCGTAAGCGATGATTGGAGGAGCGGAGGTCACAGGTGGCCCTCTCGGCCACTCAGCGGCCGGGAAACTGTTAGTTCCGGGTGGAGGGTCGACGGCCGACGCGATTCTGAGGCTTTTCCCTGAGTTAACATGGCAGCGCCCGGCAGGTCGTGGGGTCGTGGGTGAGGGAAAGTGGCGAAGCGTTCCCTCGGCTTTGCCCACGGTCCCCTCGGCGATGGCGCTTCGGTCAAGGTGCTGGGAGTTGTTGTCGGCTTTCAGGAACTCCGGTAATCTCGCCCCTTCTCCGAGATTCCTCCCCGGGGCCTGCAGGGTAACGTGCCCGTGCCCGTCGGGTCTTACATTCCACGTCCCCATCGAAGGGGGACGAGCCGACAGCATCGTGAGGGGGTCTGAGGACACTGCGCCCTGTGGCCAAGCGCACCTTCTGTCCCCCGTCCAGGGCCAGAGGTGGGGGGACGGATGGGAAAGGTCTGGTCTTGTCTGGGGTCCCTTTTAAAGGCGCGTGCGCTGGTTTCTGTTGCAGGGCGCGGGGTCGCGTCGCTGTCCACCCGTCCCGAGCCGGAGGTGCAGCCTGAAGCCGACCCTCTGGGAAACGAAGCTGTGGCCCCCGAGTTCACCAACCGGAACCCCCGGAATCTGGAACTCTTGGCCGTGGCCCGGAAGGAGCGGGGCTGGGGCACCGTGTGGCCCTCCCGGGAGTTCTGGCACAGGTAGGTCGGCCGGCAGGGACGGGCCTCCGATGGCGCTCACCGGGCCATTCCCACGCGCCAGGGCCTGCGGGGCCCCTTCTCGGGAAGCCGGGTGGTGGGTAGAGCAGGGGTCGGCGGAAGTGGGGGCACGGAAACAAACGAGAGGTGTCACGGAGGACACTGAAAAAGGATGCTAGTTGAATGGGGGCGGGGGGGGGGTGTCCAGTTATCTGCCAAGAAGAGCATTGCCGCGGAGGGAGCAGCAGGGCGGGCAGGAGCCCGGTGTGAGGTCTCGGCGGAGTGGACACGGGTGAAGGGTGCGAGATGAAGACGGGGAAGCAGGTGGCATACCGATGGTTTACTTGGTAACGCGAAGTGAGCACTTTAGACTGTATTTCCGCTGCAGCGAGAACCTGTGAGGGGATTTACAGGTGGAGTCCGAGTTAAAGGTCATTCTGGTTACCTTCGGGAGAAGACTCTTTTTTTTGTTTTTTTTTTAAGGGTGAGAGAACTCTTTTTTTAAAAAAATATATTTTATTGATTTTTTTTACAGAGAGGAAGGGAGAGGGATAGAGAGCTAGAAACATCGATGAGAGAGAAACATCGATCAGCTGCCCCCTGCACGCCCCCCACTGGGGATGTGCCCGCAACCAAGGTACATGCCCTTGACTGGAATCGAACCCGGGACCCCTGAGTACGCAGGCCGACGCTCTATCCACTGAGCCAAACCGGTTCTGGCAGGAGAAGACGTTTTTAAGGGGCGAGGGTAGAAGCGAGAAGATGGTTCCCAGTCTTGTATAAAGACGGTTATTTGCTGAACACTTTGTGTTTGCCCGGAACTATGCTAGTTGCTTTATGCTGCAGGTCTTTGGTCCGTTTTACACTTACTTTGGTGTGAGCTGGAAAATGCAAGTATAGAATAAGTTTATCTTTACCCAGTGTGGAGTCAGCAACTTAGCTCTATCTGCTCAGACCCTCTTCTAAAATAGATGCTGGGTAAATATAGCTCCACTCTCAGAAATACCAAGTTTCTCTTTGACATGAGAGGTTGAGCGGAAGTGCTTGGTTTATTGTTGAGGATATCCTCATAAAGGCAAGGAAAAATACCTTTCCCAAGTAAAATCGAGGTGAAGTACATTGAAGTAAATGAGCACAATATTTAGGCACGTATTCACCTGAAGTCACTTATCTTTAGGATTCTTTTATTATGATTTTATTCTCTCATTTAGGCTGCGAGTTATAAGGACTCAGCACCATATAGAAGCACTTGTTGAGCATCGCAACGGCCAGGTTGTGGTTTCTGCATCCACACGTGAGTGGGCTATTAAAAAGCACCTTTACAGCACCAAAAACGTGGCGGCTTGTGAGAACATTGGACGGGTGCTGGCGGAACGATGCCTAGAGGCAGGAATCAACTTCATGGTCTACCAACCAACTCCTTGGGAGGCAGCCTCCGAATCGGTATTTTGGTTTTCATGTACTTACTTTAAAAGTATTGTGTTAATTCTTGATGTTAGATAGATAATAATAATAGTTCCATATTTCAAATTCTTTTCATGTGTCAGACTCTGAGGTGGGTATCCTGATGTGCATTACCTAGTTTCATCCTCATAGCAGCCCAAGGGGCAGGACTAGTGTTCCCGGTTCTGTATATAAGTAACCCGCGACTGGCAAGTCCAGCCATGGTGGGGGAGGTTTCAAACCCACGGCGACTAATTCTACAGCCATGATGTCGACCACTCTACTTCCTTGTTCATGTATTAACACCCTGTCTGTATAATATTTAAAACACTGCTTGATATCCTTAAAGTTTCTGCAGTCTCTATTTTCTTATCCGGGTCGTTATAAAGGTCAGTTTCTGAAAAACCAGCATAGGTGGGAAGTTAGCAAAGAGCAAATCAGTTGTTCTCTTTCTATTGGGAAGTAGACTGTTTATTGTCAGCTAACTTGTGCTGATTTAACCCTTTCCCTTTCTTGGTCCTTAAAACCAGATGCAGCGGCTGCAGAGGGCTGTGACGGAAGGTGGTGTGGTGCTTCGGGAGCCTCGGAGAATTTATGAATGAGACAAGCATTGTTTGGAACTTGTCAGTGTTAAGCTGTCAGCCATTACATCCCTCAGAAGGGAGCCCCTGGAAGAACAGCCGACTTGGAAGCTGTGCGCAGTAATGTAACTGCGGAGTGTTGTTAGCAGTTACAGCCCCTTCCCCCCTTGTGTGCGGGGAAGGCTAAAGTCTTCCCTCTTGGACGTGAGAGAAGTATCTGAGAAAAGCTGTCACCAGTTATAATTAACTTTTGAAGGACAAATTAAAGGTTTATCAGTTAAAGAATAAAGGCATAGTGTGAACTTTAAATTTCTAATTATATTAAATTTCTTCACGTTTTCAGCTCACTCTGGCAAGACTACACACATGAGGTTTATGCAAAGCACTTGTTATCATGTCTGGCTCATGGGGGGTGATCTACATGATCACTGTTGCTGCTCAGGATGTGGAGTTGGTTTTTAAATATGAAACATCAATATCAGTGTGTTATAAGCAGTCTTAGTGATGTGAGGATAAAGGACAAATTCTAACCCCAGTTGGCTCCTGGACCCTGACGGGCAGAGCGAGATTGAAAGGATAAAGGATTGCAACGAGGAACTGGAAATGGACAGGGACAGTGATTCTGAATTTGCCGTGAAGTGAACATTGTTAGATGGGAGACGAAGCTTGGCATGCATCCAGTTCACCTGAAGTTGAAGCTGGGCTAGATGGGGTCATGGCAGCGCTAAAGGAGTTGATTAAATCAAGGTGTTGGCCATTAGTGTGAAGAGGAAGAACCTGTGAACAGTTAGGTGGCTTCAGCGTTTCCCACTTGATTAAATGTGTGGCCAATTTTATTATTTGGAAGTGGAAACATTACTACTGCCAATCTGGGTATTCAGTATGTTTATTTTATTTTTTTGTTGTGCTTCAATTTATTTTCACAGGCATATCGTTTTCTTTGGGGGTTTTTTCAGTATGTTTTTTAAAGATAAGTGTATTCAACATTTTTTTTAAGTATAATTGAGTCTGAGAGGCCTTCAGAATGCAATGCCTTAGTCCCCTTTTGATCAATAAATACCCCAGTGGAGACATTTATTTATTTATTATATAAACAAATTGGTTTTTAGGGACAGAAACATTGGTTTTCCTGCACCTGCCCATTCATTGGTTGCTAAAACCCAACTCCTTAGAGCGAGCAGGAGGCGCGGGCCTTCAGCCCAATAGGGAGGCGCCCGGCGCGGGGCGGCCCGTTTCCCTGCGCGCGCCCTTTAAGGCCAGCGCGCGGCGCGTGGCCGCAGTGGGTGCCCGCGGAGCTACGAGGCAGCGTGGCCATGGACGTGGGCGCGGACGAGTTCGAGCAGAGCCTCCCTCTGCTGCAGGAGCTGGTCCAGGGCGCGGACTTCCTGGGTGAGGTCCGGGGGTTCCGGGCCAGGTCGCAGGGCCCTCTGCGCTGGGGGAGCCTGCGGTGGGGGTGTTGGGGTGGCGAGGGGGGCGGGGCGGGGAGGTGAGGCCGGGCAGGGGCAGCCGCTAGGCTAGGCCAGGCCGTGGAGGCTCAGGGAGGGCCCCTTCGAAGGACAGGTTCTTCCTCGGCCTGGGGCGTCCGGCCGCAGGTACCCCCTGGCCCACGGTGGTCCGGGCGGAACCACGCCGCGGGACCCGGGTGGCCTCCGCTTTCCCTTTGAACTCACCTGGCCTCTTGAGCACAAAGGTGAGCCAAGCACTTTGCCACCTGCAGCATTTACAGTCATTTTCCAGCATGAACAGCGGTGGCACTGGTCTGCGCCTGGGGACTCCTGTCTTTTTTTTTTTTTTTTTTTTTAATATATGTATATATTTTTTATTGATTTCAGAGAGGAAGGGAGAGGAAGAGAGAGGTAGAAACATCAATGATGAGAGGGAATCATTGATTGGCTGCCTCCTGCACATTGGACCGAGTCCGCAACCCAGGCATAGTGCCCTTGGTCGGAATCAAACCTGGGACCCTTCCGTCCGTAGGCCAACGCTCTATCCACTGAGCAAAACCAGCTAGGCCAGTGGTCGGCAAACTCATTAGTCAACAGAGCCAAATATCAACAGTACAACGATTGAAATTTCTTTTGAGAGCCAAATTTTTTAAACTTAAACTATTTAGGTAGGTACATTGTTATTAACTTAATTAGGGTACTCCTAAGGCTTAGGAAGAGCCACACTCAAGGGGCCAAAGAGCCGCATGTGGCTCTCGAGCCGCAGTTTCCGACCACGGAGCTAGGGCATGGGACTCTTGTCTTTTTTGCCTTCCCGGCAGGTCTGGACATAGAGTTCACGGGCCTTCGCACTAACCTGTCCGGGTCCCAGCAGATCAGGTAAAGCTAAAGCTGCCTTAGAGCCGAGCTAGAGAGGCGCTCACCTGTGCCCCTCGGGTGGCATCCTGGCCATACCAGCCTGGTTTCTCAGCAGGCACCCATTGGCGCTGGGCGGGCAGGATGGCGTGTTGTGTGGGGCCCTGGGGACCTGGCCTCCGCCCACTAAATGCTAGCAGCGTTCCCCGTAAGTGGCTGAGAGGTGCTGACCCAGCGCGAGGCTGGGCGCCTTGATGCCATCTCGCGGCCTGTGGAATGAGATGCCCGTTTTTTCACAGTCTTTTTGACTTGCCATCGGAGTGGTACCTAAAGACCCGTCGGAGTGTTCAGCAATTTACAATCTGTCAGATTGGTGAGTGTGATCATGAGTTACTAGGAGAGCTACTTTTATTGTCTTCCTGTTCGTACTGATCAGACAGCTTTGACATCTTTCAAAGAGCCTGGCTATCACCTTTTGTGCTTGTTTGGTTTTTGGTCGTGTTATGCCTGTCGGATCTTACACTTTGGGACAAGCGGAAGTTAATTTAGCAGCACTATTTCATGCCTAACTAAATCAACATTAAGGAACCCGAACCTTCTTTCAAGGAAAAATATGTATGTTTTTTTTTTTTAATATATTTTATTGACTTTTTACAGAGAGGAAGGGAGAGAGATAGAGAGTTAGAAACATCGATGAGAGAGAAACATCGATCAGCTGCCTCCTGCACATCTCCCACTGTGCCCGCAACCAAGGTACATGCCCTTGACCGGAATCAAACCCAGGACTTTTCAGTCCACAGGCCGAAGCTCTATCCACTGAGCCAAACCGGTTTCAGCTGATTTTTCTTTAGAGAAAACTTACATAAACAAGGTCATACTGGGCACATTTTGTTCTGCATCTTTTTGTTTTCACTTAGGGCAGCGGTTCTCAACCTGTGGGTCGCAACCCCTTTGGCGGTCAAACGACCATTTCACAGGGGTCGCCTAAGACCATCCTGCATATCAGATATTTACATTACGATTCATAACAGTAGCAACATTACAGTTATAAAGTAGCAACGGAAATAATTTTATGGTTGGGGGTAAAAACATGAGGAACTCTTTGAAAGGGCCAGAAGGTTGAGAACCACTGACTTAGGGGTGTAGAGCTCGGTCTACATCAGCACATGCAGACCTCTTGTTCATTTTTAACAGTTGTACTCCAAACTAAGAATGTATCCATTGACTCAATCGCCTACTGATGCATGCTTTGGTTACCATTTGTGTCTGATAAAACAAGGTTGCACTGACTAGCTGAGTATTTATGCATCACTTTTGTGAGTATATGTTATACTAAGTGTGCGGGGTACTTCCGCAGTGGAATTGCAGAGTTAAAGAGGATGTGTTAAAGTGTTGTGTGGTGCCAACCTGTTCCTCCTCCTACCAACCATCCACAAGATGACGGTGACTCCCACTGACAACATGAATGTGCCTGCTCCCTCCCGTCCCTCACGCTGGCTGTTGTCACTCTTAAATGGATGTTGCTCACCGAGTGGAGGAAAAATGATGTGCTCGTTATTCTGATGGACACTATTAATACAGGGTCAACAAACTTTTCTGTAAAGGCTATGCGGTAAATCTGTTCGGTTTTACAGGCCATGTGGTCTGTTACATTACTCAGTTTTGCCATTGTTGATGGAAATCAGCCACAGACAGTATATAAATGAATGAGCATGGCTGTATTCCAATAAAACTTTATTTATAAAAACAGGCCTGGACAGATTTTACTGACCCTTGCTTGTCCTGTGAATGATGGTGAACATCTTTGTGTGTGTGTTGCTGTCTCCTTGTCCTTTGCTAATTCTATTGTGGTTGTTTAACTTGATGGCAAGGCCTCTTTGAAAAGTATGGGAAATAGATCTGTTTCTATTGTTTTCCCCCTACTCGGAAGTCCTTTTCACTTTGTGAACGGTCTTTTTAACAACGCAGACATTTGAAGGCAATTAAATATATACATCTTCATGGTTTGGGGTGTCCCCTCTGGTTAGTTTTAAAGCTATAAAAATGTCGCTTTCACTTTACTTCTGTGTTTGAAGAACCACTCACAATTATGTTTGAGTAATTTCAGTGTGAATTACAGTTTGACCAGGTTGGTGTTTTGGATCTGTCTTTTCTTCCTCTCCTTCTGCTCCTCCTGTTCCTCCTGCTCCTCTTCCTCCTCCTCCTTTTTTTTTTTTATGAGCTTATCCTCTTCTAAAGCCCACGCAGTATTTCTGGATTCAAAGCACTGTTCAAACGTTTTGTTTTGGTAGTTAACTTCTGGTATCTCTTTGGTACTCACCCCCCTGCTGTTCTTCTAGGACTGTCTGTGTTTTCCAGCGTCGCAGGCGAGTCGAACAAGTGCGTATAAAGACCTTTGCATGACCCTGGCTCTTGCCCAGTGATTGTCTCCACCGCCTCTCCCCAAATTCTGCTTCAGGCTCTCAGCCACGTTGGCCCCGGACGCCCCATCCTCTCCCCTGTTCCTGTGCCCTGCCCCTGCTCTCTCCCCTGCAGACTCGGCTTGTCCTTCAAGTCTCTGGAAGCAACACCTTTTCTGGGGGCCTTTCCTGACACCTGCCCTGCACCTTCATCGCTCCTTCCCTGTTGCCATGGCGTCCTGCACGGGCCTCCAGGGTGGCAGTGAACACAGTGTTACCCCGAGGGGAGGGCGAGGTAGCTCAGGCACCAACGGTCAGAAATGATGGGATGGCGGTGCCGCGGGCTCAGGATTGGGGGGGGGGGGCAGATCCTGCTCTTCGAGGGCAGGGTCTCTGCCTCTTTTCATGGCCCCCCTCACCCCCCGGGGCCAGTCACAGGACTGGGAACAGCCGACATTCAGATGCTTCTCAAGGGAAAGGAGCCCACTCGGAAGCCTGCTCTGAGCCAGAGCTTTGAAAATGGGTTTGGCTTTTCCTCCTTATGCTCCCGTTCTTTTGTAGGTACGTAGCCCATTCCTGTAACTTCTTTCTCTTCCCTACGACGTTTGGGATTCTGGACTCGGAATTCTCTTTCCAGGCCTCTAGCGTACAGTTTCTGAATCAGTATGGCTTCGACTATAACAAGGTGCACCATGGGGGAGGGAGACGCCACAGGGGAGGGAGACGGGGTTCGGAAGGGTCTCTGGTCCCGTTTCCTTCCCGTTCACGTCCACGTGAAACCGGACGAGGGAGGGTTCTTTTTGCTCTGCTCCCCACGCAGAGGGTGGCTCCACCGGCCAGCCTCCTGCTTCTCTTCCTGTCTTTAGTTTCTCAAACATGGAATCCCCTACATGAACGAAGAGCAGGAGAAGCAAATCAAACACAACATCCTGACTGGGAACTGGAGAGTCCGCAGGTACAGCCACGCTCAGGTGCCTGGTGGGTTTCTCTGGGGCTGGGTTTGTGCACTTCCTGTGGGCAGGCCTGCTGCCTCCGGAGTGCGGTGACCTCACGCGTCCCCTAAGCTGGGGAGGCGTCTGGCCTGAGCTCAGTCGCACATAACTGCTCCGAGTGCTGGTGAACCCATCCCCACGCCGAGGGGGCAGCCTCTCTGCCCCGAGTGGGAGTTCAGGGCTTCAAATGAAGGAAGAAGGCAAAGAGCCTTAACTTGGTGCTCTGAGCAGGACCTGCCCCCAGGGCTGTGGGGACACGGCTCTGTGGGACTCACTGCGGATGGTGTGTTGGCCTTCAGTGTGACCTTGGGAGTTTTTAGGGGGACCCTGACCGAGCTGGTCACATGCCTCAACTTGGATGGACGTGTCCCCTGAGGGCAGGGCTTCTGCCCTTTCCCCTCGGCCTCCAGTGCCAGTTGTCATCCTTGAGGTCCTGCCCTCCTGCAGAGCGGGGTTGGGGGTGGCGTGGTGGGCGGGTGGCAGCATGTGTGGCGGAAGGGGCAGCCCCCTGGGCCCGGGCAGGCCCTGTGTCAGTTCCCTGGTTTTGAACAAACTGTGTAAGCTCCTGGGGCTTCAGGTTCATGCCTTTGACAGCTGTTAACTCTGCAGAATGAGGAGTCATCACTGGGTCCAGGTCATTGTCTTATGTGATGGTGGAGTTTCTTGCTTTTTTAAAAAAATTTTACTCTTTTTGTGGTTTTCACATAAAAATGTAGCTTTTTGTAAGGGGAAAAAACCATTTGAAATTTGAGCCTTCTGTTATTTTCATGAAAAGGCTTTCTGTACCTCAAATAACATGATGTTCTTCTTCCCTAAGACAGGAGATGTGCTCACAGTTCCTGTCTCCTCCTCACTCCACCAGATGGTGCTTTCTCACCTCGGAGCTGAGTTAGGCAGCCAGGCCTCCTCCCAGGGCCGGGCAGCAGGGATGGCGCAGTCCCCTGTGCACGCGTGGGCGGGGTCTGCCCAGCTCCTGTGTCCTGCTGCAGAGCCGGCTCGGAAAACAAATGGTCTTTTCTGGGTGCATTTTCTTGCCAGGATCACAGTGTTAACACTGGAGGCTCAGGAGCCGCTCCCAGGTTCACGTCATCTCCCGGTTCTGGAGGGTTCCTCCAACGTCCCCCCTTCCTGTGCCCATTTTCAGTTCCCTGGACAAAGATCAAATGAAGGCGGTGATCGATGAGGTGACGCGGTGGCTGCACCTGGCGGAGGAAGGCGACTGGATGACGCTCCCTGGGATCACTGGTAGGCAGGGGGCGTCGGTCCAGTTGGTCACTCACACACCCTCTTCTCCCCGGCCAGGCATTGGCTCAGGGTCCTGGTGGAGAGAGAAAGCTCTGCCCTCAGTTCCAAGGTGAAGGCTGTTAGACTTTCTGAATGTTAAGGTGGAGGAAGGGAAGTTCCGCCTTGGAGCCCAGCCCTGAGTGTCCTGTGTCCCCGTGTTTACTCTGACCCCGGAGTTCCCCCCACGGTGAGAGTGCATTCACAGTGAACATGCCCTGGTCCGTGGACCCCAGGGGTCTCAGGCCCTTTCCAAGGGTCCAAGAGGTCAAAAGTAGTGTCACAACACCACTCGGCTATCACTTGCCGCCGTCAGGTGCCATCTGCACTGATGGCATCGAAGCACAGGTGGGCGGGCCTGTCAGCACCGGGCACAGATGAAGGCGTGCCGTCCTCATGCCAGGCATCAGTGGGTTCTGTCACCAGTTACTCTCAGTTTTATTTTTTAAAAATATATTTTACTGATTTTTTTACAGAGAGGAAGGGAGAGGGATAGAGAGTCAGAAACATCGATCAGCTGCCTCCTGAACACCCCCTACTGGGGATGTGCCCGCAACCAAGGTACATGCCCTTGACCGGAATCGAACCTGGGACCTTTCAGTCTGCAGGCCGACGCTCTATCCACTGAGCCAAACCCGTTAGGGCTACTCTCAGTTTTAAAAAATTCAATTTTGCCCTGGCCAGTGTGGCTCGGTTGGTTGGAGTGTTGTCCTGCACATCGAAAGGTTGCGGGTTAGAGTCCTGGTCAGGGAACATACCTTGGTGGTGGGTTCAGGCTCCAGTTCGGGCGCGTACGAGAGGCAACCGATTGATCTCTCTCTCTCTCTCTCTCTCTCTCTTTCTCTCTTTCTCTCCCTCCCTCCCTCCCTTTCTGTAAAATCAATGAATATATCCTCAAGTGAGGATTTTAAAAAATCCAATGTTACTTACTCTCCTTGGCAAAGCAGTAATAATTCTTAATTTTATTAAATCTCCATCTTTGCTCATCTTTTTAAACATTCTGTGTGTCCAAATGCACATGTCGAGAAGTCGGTACGCATTAGACGTTGCTGCCGCCTACGACACTGCAGGGCCTGTCTCGAGGAAAAGAACTTGTGCACGTTTTGAGTTGAGAGCCGAATTAGCAGCTTTTTAATTTTTTTTCATGGGATATTATTTTTTCTTAAAGAACCGAATGTAGTTATTTTGACGAGGGGATTTTCAATCATATTGTCAAGTGAAAAATAGTGAGCCTGTCTCTTCACGGAGAATAACTGACGGTCTTTGCTGGTGCCACGCTGGGGTTTCCATCAGACACTGGAAGTTTGGAAAACTTGAGTCTGCACCGCACGGTTGCCAGCGTCCCAGGCCTGAGGCCTTTCTGTGGGGCTGCGGCCACGTATGCAAGGCCTCTCTTTGCTGTTCTGCAGTGAAATGTGTGAGCCTTGGAAGATCTGCGCAACTCGCCGTCCCTGGTCCCTGCGCGTGGGCCATGGGCTTGGGCGCCCCTTCCCATCTGATGGGCCTCTCAGCTCCTATTCCCTCGGCCCCTCTCGAGGGGAGGCGGAGAGCTGGTCCAGGCTGCGGGGTCCTGTGTGAGCTGTGTCTCCTTGCTGTAGGCTTCCAGGCCTTCGAGGTCCAGCTGGTGCTGAGGCAGGCCCTCCCGGACATCTGGACGGTGCTGAGAGACCAGGCGGTGAGGCCTCCCCTGCAGTGGGCACCTGAGCCACCCATCCTCTCTCTCCTCGGCCAAAGCGGGCCTCTGTGAAATGTGTCTGTCTGTCTCTTTGTGTCCCTCTCCCGCCCCCTCCGCCTCTTCCCCCTCCCCTTTGAGATGAAGGACCAGGTCTTTGGCAGCGCTCCCAGGACTGGGGACTGTCTCCTTTCATCCCAGGTGATAGTGAAGAAAGTGAGCAGGCAGCACCGCTGGTACCTCCAGAACACGTCCTGCGACCGAGAGAGCTGCTGGAAGGAGAAGATCCTGCTCTCCGCCAGGGGCTTCTCTGTGTTTTTCCAGATGCTGGTGAAAGCCCAGAAGGTAGGAAAGGTTCTCTCGCCCTGGCCGGTTTGGCTCAGTGGATAGAGCGTCAGCCTGCGGACTGAAGGGTCCCAGGTTCGATTCCGGTCAAGGACATGTACCTTGGTTGCGGGCACTTCCCCAGTAGGAGGTGTGCAGGAGGCAGCTGATCGATGTTTCTGACTCTCTATCCCTCTCCCTTCCTCTCTGTAAAAGACCAATAAAATATATTTTTTTAAAAAAAGAAAAGAAAGTCTCTCTCTTCTGGGTCTGCAGCGGCCTCTCTCTCTGGCCGTGGCCCTGCTGGGCTCCAACAGGGAGATCTTGAGATGAGTGGTTCCTCCCTGTTGAGAATTGAGAACTGTCTGTGCGGATCTGACTGGCACCAGAGCATGGTGGGTAGACTGGAGGAGAGACTGTCCGTAGGCATTTCAGCTCTGATTGACCTAAAACTCCCGGGAAGGAGTGCTGCTCTGCTTCCCAGTTTGGGTCCCAGTGTGGCCCGGCCTCAGGCCCCTCCTGCTCACTGCTTTTCTCCTTTTCCGGGAGGGAGAGGGGGGTGGCGATGGGATGGCCACGTGGTCAGGATGCAGTGGGTTCTGAAGCTGCACCCTTTGCAAGCAGCGCCCGTTTCTCTCCTTTGTAAAGCTTCCTTTTCCTCCCTGTCGCTTTCCTCCAAGTAGCCCTTGGTGGGACATAACATGATGATGGACCTGCTGCATCTGCATGAGAAGTTCTTCAGGCCCCTCCCAGGTAGGGCCCGCCTGGCGCTGTCCTTCCCTTGATCCTAGTTCGCTGCCTGGAGGGACGTTGGCCCAGAATCCTGCTCCCGTAGGAGCACCCGCACGCGCACCCCCCCCCCAGGGGCTGTGATGAGGCGCTGCCGTGGCTGAGGTAGCGCTGGCTTCACGGAGGGAGGCCAGTGGTGAAGGGCCTAACACTGGAAAGCCACCTGTCAGGCAGATGTGATGTTAGAGCGGTGGGCATGGCACCAACAGGAAAAGAAGTTGCCTTGGGGAGCAGAAAATGTAAGGGCGGGGGGGGGTGGGGAGGAGAGCCTGGGGGTGTTGTTTGTGTTTGTGGGAAACCTGTTTAAACTCCATGCAGGTGTGATTTTGATGAGCATACCAAGTTAGAAATCGTTATCAGGGCACGACCCTCATTATAATGTTTTTAGTGGATTTTTCCCTGGACAGTCGTTTACAAATGCTGATTTCCTATCTGATTCCCAGCAACACCTCTTCCTCCTTTTCCCAGTGGCTAGAACTTTGCCAACTCCATGGAGCAGAACTTCCTGGGAAACCGTTTGGCTTTTGCTGTTGCAAACGGTGGTGGCGGCTGGGCTTGAGATTGAGAAACCCTTCACGAGCAGGAATGAGGGTCTCCTCTCTCTCTTTCGTTTTACTCATTAACCAGGGGTGACAAGTGAGGTGAAGAACTCCCCTTCCCATTTTGCCAACAAACTCACCTCTGCCCGTCTGGGTCTCTCCTTCAGAAAGCTACCACCAGTTCAAGCAGAATATCCACAGCCTCTTTCCCGTCCTCCTCGACACCAAGAATGTGACCAAGGACATATGGAAGGTAAAGAACGCACCTGCCTCGGGCTAAGGGATGCTTTATCCCAGCAACACAGCCCTCTCTCTCCAAAAGTTGTTCCTTGAACCCTTTCCTCATAGTTTACAACCAGCATCGCTTTCCTTCTGGGCTCTAGCCCCTCTGGATCATAGTGGCTTCCATGTAACCCTTGCCTCCCTCCCTCACGCTCCCATGTGCTGACTTACTTGTGTCCAGTTGCTGTGCTTATTTAGATTCAACAACAGCAGTTGACACATGCCTAGTATTTGCACCATGCTTAAAGGGCATGGGGGGGCGGGCCTCTTGAAAAATCTTGAGGAAAACATCTCTATTGAGCCTTAGCCTTAAGGTCCTGGGTTTTCAACCCGACAGCCCATTAGAACCACCTGGAGCCAAGTTTTGACACCTGGCCCTACCGTCAGCTCCTCTGGTTGGGGGAGAGGGGGATGGATTTCTGAGGCTCTCAGGTGACTTCTGTTGTGCATTTGGAGGGAAGCACCCAATTGGTTTAAATGCAGTTAAGAAGTTAAACTGAGACCCAGGCGGCGTGGCTCTGTGGTTGAGTGTTGACCTATGAACCATGAGGTCATGATTTAATTCCTGGTCAGGGCACATGCCTGGATTGCGGGCTCAATCTCCAGTGTGGGACATGCAGGAGGCAGCTGCTCAATGATTCTCTCTCATCATTGATGTTTCTCTCTCTCTCTCTCTCTCTCTCTCTCTTCCTCTCTGAAATCAATAAAAATATATATATATATTTTAAATACATTTTATTGATTTTTTACAGAGAGGAAGGGAGAGGGGATAGAGAGTTAGAAACATCGATCAGCTGCCTCCTGCACACCCCTCACTGGAGATGTGCCCACAACCAAGGTACATGCCCTTGACTGGAATCGAACCTGGGACCCTTCAGTCCGCAGGCCAATGCTCTGTCCTCTGAGCCAAACCGGTCAGGGCTAAAAATATATTTTTAAATAAAAGTTAAACTGAGTAACAAAGATAGAGGAAATATATATATATTAGAGGCCCTATGCATGAAATTCATGCAAGAGTAGGCCTTCCTTCCCCTGGCTGCTGGCAATAGTTTCACTCTGGCACCCGGGACCTGGGCTTCCCTGGCAGTCCCAGCTTTGTCTGGAAGCTCGTCTGGTTAAATTAGCATATTATGCTTTTATTATTTTATATATATGTATATATAATATATATATTTATATATATATATATTTGCCTGGAGATGCACGCTTTTTGTAGCTCACATATCTCAGCCCTGACGGTGTCTGTGATGCTGCTGGTCTCCATGTCACTGTGTCGTCCTAGGGGTGAGAGGGTGGGGGTGGGGCTCATCTCAGGGAACCAGCGGTGCTCCTTTCCATGGGACGTGGTCCTTGCCATGCCTGGTCCCACATGTGTGCCCTGGGTCTGATGCCTTGGAGTCTGAGTTTCTAGAAGCCCTTAAGCACTTGTCTTTGAAGGAAGATGGGATGAGCTGTGTCTGTGGCAGCTTTTGCTCGTTTAGGTGATTGGGGCCCAGAGGGACCCAGGCCCAGGCCATAGGAGCCCTGGCGTCCGAAATAAGGAGGGGATGTCTGAAGAGAAAGAAGAGGTGGTGGGAATTGACATTTTTTTCCGGGTCATTTCAATGAGCATTTGACAACACCTGAAGCAGATAATAAACCAAAGCAAACCCTTTCTTCCCCCTCGTTTGTTTTCCGTGACGGCAGGACCTGAATTTCCCGAGGGTTTCCAATCTCTCCGAGGTGTACGAAGTCCTGAACAGGTGCGGAGCCGTCGTCCGGAGCTGCTTCTGGGCGGTTTGGCTCCCAGGACACGTCGGCAATGCCGAGACACTTACCACTGGGGGTGCCACTGACGCCTGGGCGCGAGGCCAGGACGCACAGGAGGCCCCAGCCCAGCGCCCTCCCGCCCGGTGTTCCTGGTGCTGAGGTCGAGGAACTCTGTTCTAGAGGGAGGGGCCGGGGCCCATCGTCAGTACAGCTGTTGGACGATGTGGTGCTTCCTGTGGGCCAGGGCTTCATTTCTCCTTTGATCTGTGTCCCGTTGCCGGGGTGATGAGCTGTGTGAGAACAGGGTGGTTTGGTGTTTCTTGGGAACCTGGCATTTCTCTCGGGCCTAAAGCAGTGCCAGGCATAGTAGGTGCACATTCAACATTGCGTGAATGGGAGATGCCAGCGCCTCCCCTGTGGGTGCCTGGTCAGGCCTCAGCTGCTGGCCGTGCGGGATGCAGGAGTGATCATCTCTGTTTGTCCTGAAGACCCCGGGACAGCCAGCCCCCGGCAGGGCCGGTGTGGAGTTCATGTGGGCGCCGGGCTCAGGTGAAGGGGCCGCTGAGCCTGCTGTTCTCTCACCCATCCCGTGGCCGCATTCCCAAGGCCATATTTGCCCGGGCCTGGGTCCGTGCCTTTTTCTCGTTCCCTTAGAGGTGTCTCGGGTCTGAGGACAGTTTTATTCATATGAACCTGGGGTGGCGAGAGGAGAAGCAGAGGGACTGTTCTCAGCGAATGGTCTTTATCCTTTTCTCTCCTGACAGTGAGTTGAATCCCACCAAGGACTCTGGGCCAGTGATCATTCACGCCAGCAAGTGCGAGAGATACGGTATGTGCCGCGGTGCGGGCTCCTCACAGCTGGCAAAGCACTGAGGGCTAGAGCTCAGGCGGGGCCCCGGCGGCAGGGGTGTTCTCCACGGTGTCCCGGGCTGTGCCCCCTGAACCCCTCGCTCGAAAGGAGCCATCCTGGCGGCACCCGAGGCCCTGGGTGGGGCGTCTGCTCCCCTTTGCCATGGTGAGTGGCCTGTGGGGGGGCTCTCGGCTCTCCGCTGCCTCCTCCTGTGGGTGCTCATGGGTCGTGGGGGGTGGGGGGCGCCGTGAGGACTGGAGGTGAGTGTGGGGGGTGAGGCGTGCTCAGGTATCTGGAGGAAGGAGGTGGAGGCTGTGTGTGCACGGCCAATGCCCGTGTGGAATTGGGGCGGGGACAGGGGTGGGTTCACAGCCCACACGTGTGATGCTAGGTGGGGGGAGCCTCCTCTTCCAGGTGGTTCTAATCGCTGCTTGACTCTCTCCTGCCTCCGGAACTCGCCTCAGCTGAGACAAAGTTCCCCCACGAAGCAGCATACGACGCCTTCCTCTGCGGATCAGGTGGGTCGCTGTCCCTTTAAAGCAGTGGTTCTCAACTTTGGCTGCACATTAGAATCACCTGGGATTCTTTTTAAAATCCTGATTTCTGGGCCTCATCCTCTGGAAATTCTGTTTCTTTGTTATGGGGTGGGGCCACAACATTAGTAACAAAGAAATGGAATTTCCGGAGGATGAGGTCCAGAAATCAGAATTTTAAAAAGATTCCCGCCCTAGCCGGCTTGGCTCAGTGGACTGAAGGATCCCAGGTTTGATTCTGGCCAAGGGCACATGCCTGGGTTGTGGGCTCGATCCCCAGTAGGGGGCGTGCAAGAGGCAGCCGATCAATGATTCTCATCATTGATGTTTCTATCTCTTTCTCCTTCTCCCTTCCTCTCTGAAATCAATAAAGAAATATTAAAAAAAAAATAGATTCCCAGGAATTCTGATGTGCAGCCAAGGTTGAGAACCACTGGTTTAAAGGAAGACTGGCCTGACTGGTGTGGCTCATTGCCTAGGAACCAGGAGGTCAGGGTTCCGGTTAGGGCACAGGCTTGGGTTGTGGGCTCCATCCCCAGTAGGGGACGTGTAGGAGGCGGCTGATCAGTGATTCTCTATCACTGTTGATGTTTCCATCTCTCTCCCTCTCCCTTCCTCTATATTAAAAAAAAAATAGATTCCCAGGAATTCTGATGTGCAGCCAAGGTTGAGAACCACTGGTTTAAAGGAAGACTGGCCTGACTGGTGTGGCTCATTGCCTAGGAACCAGGAGGTCAGGGTTCCGGTTAGGGCACAGGCTTGGGTTGTGGGCTCCATCCCCAGTAGGGGACGTGTAGGAGGTGGCTGATCAGTGATTCTCTATCACTGTTGATGTTTCCATCTCTCTCCCTCTCCCTTCCTCTCTGAAACCAATACAAATATTTTTTAAAAAAATAAAAGACTAGTCTTGGTTACCCTGGCTGTTACTCAGTGGTTAGAGCACCGGCTGTGCACATAAAGGTCTCGGGTTCGATTCCCAGTCCAGGGCACATACTTGGGTTGCAGGTTTAATTCCTGGCCCCGGTTGGGTGTATGTGGGACGCAACTAACCACTGTGTCTCCCTCACATGAATGTTTCTCTCTCTCTCTCCTCCTCCCTCCCGTCCATGTCTCTCAACAATCAGAGGAAAAAACATGCTCTGGTGAGGATTAACAAAAATAAGTAAAGGAGACCCATGCTTTGTTGGTGCTAACCCCTGCCATCCCGTGCATTCCCAGTGGTTGCACATAACGGGGAAAAGGCATGCGTCCGCATGTGTGACCAGGTGGTCAGCTTGAGCCCTGACGTCTTCCATCTCTGCTTTCCCCCCAGTTCTTCTGAAAGTGGCGCACTTGCTCCTGTGGAGAGTGCACGGGTGAGTGTCCCTGCCTTTCCTCCTGCGTTAGCCTCGCTGTGGGCCAGGACCTCCCAAAGAAGGGAGGGCGCGTGCGGAATGTCACTGCGGATGCAGTCCCCGACGGGTAGCAGTCCCTTGCCACACCCGCCCCCGTGCTGGTCCCGGACCTCGGGCCTCCTGTCGGGCTCTGGGAAGACCCGTGTGTCAGGAGCCACGGCCGTGGGGTCAGGCTCAGGTTCTCACCTGCCCCCGTGCCTCTCAGCGGCTGGGCTGGCGTGTCTGTCACCACGTTTCTCGTAACCATGCAGATCACAGCGAGGTAGGAGGCAGATGTTCAGGTCAGTGAAGGACGCGTCCTTGGGGTCCACACAGTCAGGCCGCGGAAGGGCACAGGGGGAGATGCCTGATCCCCAGGCTGGAGGCCTGCACTTCCTGGGCAGCACCGTCCCTGAGGTCTGCGGTGCCAGCTCGCGGGCACCAGCCCACACCTGAAACTCACTTCCCGTCGCTCTGTCCGTCCATCCATGGTGTTACATTTGCTCAGGGGGACTCAGCAGCCACTGAAGGAGCCGATCACCATTGTCACGTGTTCTTTGTGGCTGACTTGGAAATAATTGTGGAGTCATCTGTTCAGCTGGGTTTGGCCTATGTCCATTTTAGTAACAGATACTGTGCACAGAAATCGTCTACAGCCTATAGCTGTGAGGCTCACAACTTCAACAAGAAACCTGCCACCCCACCTCCCTCCTTCCTGTGTGTTGATGGTGCCTGAGTGCCCACAGGGAGGTTCGTGTGCCAGCAGCAGAGGCAGCCCACTGCAGAGGTGTCCCTAGTGCCCGGCGCCTGGGCCTTACAGCCTTATTCCTATTACTCCTCAAGCCCTAAAGCCCTATGGGGCTCAGAGAAGGGCCGCAGTGGCCCTCTGCCCGCTCCGCAGCCTGCCTCTGGGACCTATGCTTGGGGGCGTGGCCAGGTCTGGACGGAGGCGGGGCTGGTGGTGGAGAGAGGTGGTGGGAAGAGGGACTCCACGCGGAGTAGAGGGTGATGTCGCGTCCAGGGATGATAAAGTCACCGTCTGGCCAGTGGCCTCTCTCTCATTCTCCAAGCCCTTTTGCTAATGTTTGTCAGCAGAGGGATCGTCAGCAAACTGTCACCAGCAGACGGTGACCCCTGGAAGCTCTGGCGTGGGCCCTGAGGGACCTTTCTGGGGTTGGTGGGGGGCCATGGCGGGGGGGAGCACCGACCTGAGCCCAGGGCTTGTGGGGGGAGAGGGGAGTAGTCCCCGAGCCGCAGCCTCGGCCGAGGCGTGTGCATGGCGCCAGGTGCTGAGTGCCCGGGCGCTCTGTCCATGCAGGGCCGGCCCCACCCCGGAGCCCTCCTTCCCCCTGTACCTGGACGTGCTGGCCCCCTATGTGAACCAGGTGAACCTGATCCGCGCCGGGGTCCCCAAGATCGTGAGTACGGTCCCGTCACTCCTCCCTGGTCAGAGGCTGCCCCGGGAGGCGGCCAGGTCCTGGGCGTCTGAGGGGGCTCTGACAACAGCCACAGTCAGAGTTGAGGCGGGTGTCGGACCCGCTGTGTCCTCCTCGCCCTCCCTCTCCCGCCCCAGAAGGAGCCCTTCCCAGTTTCTCTCAGGATTTCCAGACTGGGTGTGTCATCAGGAGGGATGGTGGGAGTCTCCGTCTGTCCTTCTCCCTGTCTTCCAGAACTTCTCTGGCCCAGATTATCCCAGTATCCGGCCCCCCATCCTCGTCCTCAGCGTCCGGAGGTGGCTGGGGGTCACCGAGCAGCAGATCTATCGCGAGTTCCAGAGTCTCTGCAAATTCGACGTCCGGCGACTCACGCGGAACCAGTTCCTGCTCTTGACCAACAAGTTCAAGGAGTAGGTGCCCTGGGTCTCAGCTGCCCTGGTCCTGTCTCCTCCGGCCACCCCTCTCCTCCTCCGGCCACCCCTCTCCTTGCTCGGAGCCGCAGGTGCGCGGCCTGCCTGACCGAGCACCCTCTCCCGCAGCGCCCGGAGCGTCCTGAAGGAGTACCGGGGCCACCCCGCGCTGCAGGTGTCGCTGTACCGGTACTGGAGGCACTCCCCGGACGTCCACTGCCTGCTGCAGTAAGTGTGGCCTGCCCGCCGCCCGCCTGTCCGCTGCCCGCCTGCCCGCTGCCCTCCTGCCCGCTGCCCGCCTGTCCTGTGCGCCCGCTCGGGCTGGGCGAGCACAGCTCCGTACTGGGGTGTCCTAAGGCGTGGCTGACGAGTGTGGTGAACTGAACGGCATTCTGTAACATTGTTTTTGTTTGTTTGTTTTTCGCTAATCCTCACCCGAGGATGTTTTTCATTGATTTTTAGAGAGAGTGGAAGGAAGAGGGAGAGACAGAGAGAAACATCAATATGAGAGAGAGACATTGATTGGTTGCCTCCCACACACACCCAGACTAGGGCCAGGAATCAAGCCTGCAACCGAGGTACGTGCCCTTGACCGGAATGGAACCCAGGACCCTTCGGTCCTTGGGCCGATGCTCTATCCACTGAACCAAACCGGCCAGGGCTCTTCTGTAACGTTTGGCGTGTTTATTGGGCGTCCACTGTATGCGGCACCATCGCAGGCCCCTGTTCTCATGGGGCTCACGCTGAGCGGGAGGTAACCAGTAAAGGAGGGGACTGCCCCTTCTGTTAGTGACAAGAGCAGTTCGGGGGGCGAGTGGAGGGAGTGCTGTTGGAGGAGAGGATGGAGGCCCTGTGCCCGGGCAGAGGGGCCACAGCGCGAGGCCTCTGGCGGGACGTGCCTGGGGTGCGCTGGGCAGAGGCCACGGTGCTGGGAATGAACAAGTGAGGAGACGAGACTGCACGGGCCGCGGGTGAGGGCTGCGGAGAAACTGGCTCGCGGGGGTTTGGGGCCGAGGCGTGCCGCGTGGGTCTGTGGAGACACTGGGGGCCCGGGCCGGGGAGGAAGTCTGGACCCCGGTCACCCGGCTGTGGCTTGGACTGCTCGGTGGCCGCGTGGGGGTGGGGCACGGACAGACCAGAGCAGAGGCAAGTTCGAGTCCAGAGCTTGTGGCTGGAGAGATGGAGATGCATTAATGTGCTTTGTAAGGACTCTGGCCGGCTGGTTCGAGCCAGATCTGTAGAAAGGCTGTTGAAGCAGGACATTGGGCCTGGGCTCCGTTCTCCTGTGTCAGCCTCGGGTGTAATTCGGCAGGAAAAGTGCTCCGTGTCCCAGAGACGAGTGCGCTGGGGCGTGGACAGCGGTGGGAGGAAAAAGAACATTTTCGCCAACAAAGTCGGGGAGAACAGGGCGAGCCTGTGTCAGAGCTTTCAGACCTGCCTGCCGACTGGCCACACACAGACGCCCTCGCCCCTGCCGTGGACCCGCTGACCCGTGTCCTGGCGTGTCCTTGTCTTGCAGAGTCTGTGGCATAGTCACCGCCTGGGCCCTTCTCGCGTTTCTCCTGGGGCGACCTGGCCCCTGACGCCACCCGAGCCCTGCCGCTCCCGTCGGCGCCTCTCCGGGAGGCCAGCCCGTTTGTGTTCGTGTGAATCGTATTCTACTTGCCAATGGACCTGCCTGGTCATTTCGAGGGATTTCGTTATGTTTTGAGCGAGAAATTCTGTAAATGTTATCAATGAGACAGACATCCTTGGGCGGCTCTCCCTCCGGGAGCGTGCCCACCCTCCCCTCCCCCTCCCCTCCCAGGCCTCTCACCTTTACCTTCTCTCCCCTCAGCTCCCAGGGCCTTCTTTGCTGTAACTTGTTTCCTCAGCCCGTTTCTTCTATAGCTCAGTTCTTCTACCTCTGTGACTTTCTAAATAAGCTTGCTCTTATTTAAAAAAAAGGGGGGGGGGGGCCTTGGCCGGGTGGCTCAGTTGGTTGGACATCGTCCTGTGCACCAAAAAGTTGCTGGTTTGCCCTGACCGGTTTGGCCCAGTGGATAGAGCGTCGGCCTGTGGACTCAAGGGTCCTGGGTTCGATTCCGGTCAAGGGCATGTACCTTGGTTGTGGCACATCCAGTAGGGGGTGTGCAGGAGGCAGCTGATGGATGTTTCTCTCTCATCGATGTTTCTAACTCTCTATCCCTCTCCCTTCCTCTCTGTAAAAAATCAATAAAATATATTTTTAAAAAAAGTTGCTGGTTTGATTCCTGGTCAGGGCACATGCCGGGTTTGCAGGCTCAATCCCGGGTAGGTGGCGTGTAAGAGGCAGTCGATCAATGTTTCGTTCTTACACTGATGTATGTCTCTCTCTCTCTCCCTCCCTCCCTCCCTCCCTCTCTCAGAATCAATAAAAATATTTTTTAAAATACTGAGCTATCTTGATGTAGTACTATTTAAGAATCCTGGTCAGATAAATGCATTCATTTATTCATTTCATCATCAATGTAGCGAAGGAAGGAAGGAAGGGAGGGAGGGAGCGAGAGAGAGAGAAAGGAGAGAAAGAAAGAAGAAAGAGAAAGAAAGAGAAGTTCTTGGATCTGGTGCCTTTGTGGCCAAAACTTACTTCCATCCATGACTGGGGAGAAGCCGCCATGTCTGGTAACTTCCTGTCCCCGAGCGTCTCCTGCACAGACGGTGCAGAGCCGACGCCAAGTGCGGAAGAGGCCGTGCTGTTTCTGGGAGAGAAATGAAGGCCAGTGGCTGCTGAGGGAAGAAGGTGGCGCCCACGTCCACGCGCACTGGTGATGCTGTGGGAAGCTCAGAGTGGTCCTCGAGGCGGCAGAGCTCCGAGACGGGGCGCCGGGTGCCTGAAACTAACCGCTAACGTTCACTTGGGGAACAGCAGCGAAGTGACCCCACCACAGGGCTGAGGCCTGATGCAGTGAGCTCACCGACTGTGAAGTCGTAGCTCCATCTACGCCATGTGTCCTGAGCATTACGCCATCTCAACTGTCTCGTGCAGTGAAGAGCGAAAACTAAGTAGTAAATGCACATTTACGTGCGGACGGTTCTTGCAACTGCATCTGCCTATCTGCCTATTCCTGCTGACATTCCTGCTGGTCTGGGCAGAAGGGAGTCGGGACAGCTGGTGCAGGGAGGGGGACAGCCAGGGGCCCTGTTTGCTGTGAGGCCCACTTCCCGCTCCTGGGAGAAACGGGGGTGGTCCCACCACAGGATTGTCAGGCTGTACTTTTAAACCAGATACCCTGCTTTTGTGTGTTCTGCCTGAGAAATGCATTGCACGCAGTCCAGATAGCGGAAGAAGGTTGTGTGTGTGTGAAAATTACAATCAGTGTTTGTCTAGCGTTTGTTTGCCCCTGGCACTCCCAGTCCTGGGACCCCCCGGCAGCCTCCAGGGTCATTCTGAATGTCCAGTTACCCCGATACTGCAGACCCTGCGGGAAGCAAGCCGGCCCTCCCAGGCCTCTGGGCAGGACCTGCTCCGTCGTCCTCTCCCCCGGGGAGCGGGCAGCGAGGCCTCGGCTGTGCCCTGCCCCGGAGACCTTCCACGGGAGCTCCCAAAACAGGATGACACGGAACAAGAGTGCAAGCTGGTCTTTCGTGTTTAGAGCTTCTTACATTGGGGCAACCTCAGCATGCTCCCCCTTTTTGTCTGATCTCTGAGAGGCTATAGAACCAGCCACCCTCTCCATGCCCCAGAGGGAGAAAGGGATGTCGTCCCTGGATGTCACTGTCGTCACTCATCTTGGGGCGTAAAAGGGAGCCAGGTCACTCCCTGGGGGAAGAGCAGTGGCTGGGTCCGCCTTAACCCCCCCTGGTGGTCAGTGTCTGTACTGCGTAGGCCTCTGGGACAGTTGAAGGAGCAGCGTGGATGCGCGGGTGGGCATGGGGGATGCACGGGTGTGGGAGGCCTGTGGGCGGGAGCCTGTGGGTGGGGCTGTCATCTCCAGGAGAAATCTAAGGGCTTCACTGAGAATCCCTCTGAGCGCTGCCTCTGGGATTGAGTTTCTCGCTGACATTCACAACTAATTTGGGGGGGTTTGCCAAGGAAAAGG